GTTCCACACTAGCTGCCGTACCTGCACCCAACTATGGGGGATACCTATTTAAATCCTCTGGCTCCATTTCTGTAACACGCTTTACCCTTACACCCTTACGGGATTAGCAATGCCACATAAGGACCCTAAGACTTTAGAAGTTTTATTACTTAATCAAGAATTAGATTAATTTTTTATTAAAAATTAATTAATTTTTTATTAATAAAATTATATATATTGAAATAAATGAGTCAAGATGAGTCATAATTTAAAATAAAAATATAAAAAGAAAACCTGCCAAGCCAGAAAATAAATAACAAATTTTAAAATAGGTAAAAGCTTTAAATTCCAATATAGGATGGCAACAATTTATTATTGTATTACTTGTACAATGAAATTTGCTTGCAAAAAAACATTAATTGAAAAAGATAAAACTAATCATGAAGCTCTTTTTCAAGAGACTAGAGAAATATCAAAATGTTCTAAATGTGAACTTCGACATTGGAGATATTATTTGTTCATATTGTAAAAAAAATAATCTTGAATGCAAATGAGTACTTCCAAAAACACAGCAAGAATTCGAAATTTTAAAAGAGAAAGAGATTACATATTCTAGTAGCCAGTATGAATATACTTCAACTAGACAATTTCATGAGCAAGCATATTTTCAATTTAATCAATATCAAACAATTAAATCAGCAAAAGAAATATTTAATCATTCATCAATGAATTTTCCAAAATACTTAAATGAAAATTCAGAGCAAAATCATGATTATTTAACCAAAACTTGAAATAGATGCAAAGAAAATAAATATAAAAATAACTATCAATATAATTATTTTGATCATGAAAAACATGTAATAATTTATGTATTGAAAAAAAACTTTGGCACATTGCAGCATTGGGCAGATCAAGATGGAAATATCTTATCATAAGATATAGTTGGTCTATTCATTTTTGGCGAATATCGATTTTTAGATGCTTATAAAGATGATATTGATGACAATAAACTACTTACAAGTAAATGATTAGAAGATTACAACTGTAAAGATAAAATTATTATTGAGCAAATTCCATATGAACAAGTAATTCAAAATTCTGATTTGATACCTTGTAATTGGATTTCAATGCCACAATCTCTTAAGTTAATTGCTAAAGATTTAGAGCTATTAAAAAATCAACAAAAAATTATTTCTGATAAGAAGTTTTATTCAAAAAATTTTTTATTTTTTGGTGATAGTAGTAGTGAAAAAACAACAATTACAGAAAATTTGGCACAAGAATTGGCTCAAGGTCGAGAAATTTGCAAGAAAGCAAATGATCCAAAGTACTTTGATAAGTATAATAATCATAAAGTTATTATAAAGCAAGAGTTAACTTATGATATGTTTAACTTTGAAGATTTATTATTACTATATGAAAAAGATCAATGTATTATTAAGCAATATAACAAAAAATCTATTGAGGTGGTATCAAAATACAATATTTTTACAGCACAAGATCAATTTGATGATATATTTAGTTTTCACAAATGGACATTTGATAATAAAAGTATAAAAAGTAATGAGAAAAGGTTTGAATTACACAGATGATTTGCAAAATCATCTGCCTATACTTATGGTTATATAAATCAAGTTGTAAATCGTTATATATCGAAGAAAGTTGATTATTACTTTATATGGACTGAACCTGATGAACTAGGTGATATAAATGATTTTATGAATGGTCAATTTGATATCAAAATATGTGAAGGTTTGGATTTAGAATCAGCTAAAAAATATGTGTATGATAAGGATTTTGAAAATCTCTATGAGTTAAAAGAAGATATTTACTTGAAATGAGAAGTTGATATAAATTTTATTTTAGGTGAAATCATAGCTGATCTTGATTTGGAATATAAAAAATTTAGCATACAGGATATAACAAATATTGAGATAAAGATTTACTCAACTCAACAATAATACCAAAAAATCTTAATAGTATTGATAAAAAATTATAAGAAAAGCTTGTTAAACAGTTTAACTTAAACTATACTTTAAAAAGAAATTTAGATATTAAAAATAATGACCCACAAATAGAATGTTTTAAAAAAAGAAAAATTTGATTGTTTAAAATAATAGTATTTTTATTATATATATTTTATTAAATAAAAAATTTACTTTAACTAAATATAATTAGCAAAAATTTATTTACAATTAAAATAACAAGATATAAAAATACAATACAATAAATAACAATATAAAAAATAAAATATAAATCTAAAAATCTTTTCTCCAAACTTCACTATTTTTATGCCAAATTTTGTCTGGTCTTGCAAAAAGAAACACAACTACATTATTCCAAATTTTATTTTCAACAATTCTTAAACTTTTTTCTTGCTTCTATCTAAATCCTGCTGCTTCATCACTTTCTCTTACTATTCGAACAGACACTTTTGTAAAATTAGCACCTCTTCGAATACTTTCTTGATAGCAGTAAAATCTTCTATTATCAGCTAAAATATATTAGTCATTTTTATAAAAACATACTTGAATAATTGGTAAGTCTTGTGGTTTCAATTTACTAGAGATTAAATCCTTAATCGTATCCTCAATAATAAATCCATCATCTTCTGAGAAATACAAATTAATCTGTGCTTATGTAAATAAAATTTGAAATGGGTTTAACATGTAGTTGTAATCTTCTTTGCTTAATTTTAATTGTATTAAAATTAGTTTTAATTCAAAAATAATAATAGCAAAGAAGAAAAATATACGAATAAACAAAGAAGGTATAATTAAAATTAAAAAAAATAAAAATAATTGATAAAAAAATTTATTACTAATTAAATTTTTAATTAGTGTGAAATTATTAAAATGATTTTCTTGTTCGATTTCTAAGCTGGAGGATAATTCAAATAAATTTTTTTCTTGTTTGGTAGTAAACTAAATGACCATTCTTGAGAAGCAGACTTCTGGTTATTCAAAATTTTGATGAATTTTATTATTTGCCCATTCAGCTTTTTCCTATTCGTTATAGTTAGATAACTACAAAATAAAAAATATACAAACCTGTCATTAGTATGAAATTCCTATTTACCCATGTTTGTTAGCTATAGTAATAACAAGAAGATATAATTTCTATAGATCTGAGTCAAGTTCTCGAAGAACAATAGAAATTATCTTCATATACATATGAATTATGTGTTATTCAAAATGAATCTCTATTCTTCTAGGGCAGCATCACTTCAGAATTACAAATACTAGTATAAGGGCACAGCCACTCACCTTCTCAGTTACAAAATTAAAATCTTCTTGTTGCTGAATAGTAACAGGTTGATGTTTTGTAGTTTTTTTTGGTAGCTTTGATTACAAGTTTCTTGAATAAAGATATTTTAATTGATAGTTTTTTTCAAAAAAATAATATTTGGTTGTTTTCTGTTTATTTAATAAAAATTTTTAAATTTTGATAAAAATTTAAGTTTTGATATAAAAATACTATTGTTTCTTAAATAGTTGTTTATTTGATAATGTTTTTTAACTATAATCAATAAGAAAATAAAATTAAAAACTTTGATTGGTTTAAACTTTGATAAGAATTTAAAAGTTTATTAGTTTAAATTTTTATTGTTGATTAATTCTATAATTCTTAAAATATAATATATTATATAAATTTATATAATAATTAATATAAATAAAAATTTTTTAATTAATTTAATTCTAATTTATAATATATATATATAAATAAAATTTTTTATTTATATATAATTAATTAAAATATAAACTAATTAATATAAAAACCATAAGTAAATTTACAATATATTGTATATAATTACTTTAAAAAATTATATTTTATAAAATATAACAAAGTAATATAATAAAATTTTTTTATTTATATATTATAGTTTAAAAATATACTAGTATTTTTTAATTTAATTAATAAAAAATCAATATGTAAAATGCCAGCTTTGAAAGAATTTAAAATTTTTTTCAACAAAAACAAGGAGGAAAGATCACTACTATATAACAAGCAAAATGCAACAATTCTTAAAAAAGATAAGAAAATCGTATCATACCTAGGTATGGAGAATTACCACTTAATAGCTACTATAAGAGAAATTCTGTATATATATAACTGGGCCCAGCAAAAAAAGCTAAGAGAAAATTTGGTAATAGAGAAAGAAAAAGAACTAATAGAAAATAAACCTGACTCCAAACATCTCCTAAACAACATAGTTTTAGCTAAAGCAGGACCCAGCTCTATGGAGATTAATTTAACACAAACAAAAATTAATAAGGACAGCAATAGCACCAAACAAATCCCCATGGAATTTTCTTTTATGCAATCAAACCAATTCAATAACAAAATGCTAATTGATGAGGTGGAAACCTCTTGCAAGAGAAGCTTTACAGACTAAGAAGATACAAGTATATTATTAGAAAGTAAAGCAGAAACAACTAAAGATATCTTATTACAAAACGAAGCTAGAGTCTTAGACTATAGGCTAGAAGAATTCATTAATAAAAGGCAAAATTTACAAAAGCAGACTAGGAAAGAACCACTTACAAGGAAAAAAACTAAATATTATGAAGATATCTACAACTCAAACTGGGCACCAAAAGATAGCTTTACAATTACTATAGCTACAAATACAACAAATTATTATTTTACACTATGAGACCTTCCTAAAGAAATGAGTGCTAGAGAAATTAAAAAGTATCTCAGTTACTTTGGCATTGCAACGATTCTCACCTGGCAACAAAATTACAATTCTAAAGCAGCATATTTTAAAATTACAACAAATATAGAGAAAAGAGAAAGCTCCTTAAAAGAGAATTAGTCAATTCATTTAGACCAAGGCAAAACATACAGAACAACTCCAGAAAAATTTAACAATAGTGAATTAGAGCAAAGAAACAAATATAGAGCTACTATCATTAATGTTCTAAAAATAGCAATAGATAGTTTATTATTATAGCAACTGAAAAAACACAAGGTCCAAGCAGTGCATATCTTAAACAATTGTAATGGAAACCAAAGTAGAAGGGTACATATCTATTTCAAAACAGAAGATGATCTCGTACAAGCTCAAAAGCACAACCTGTTTACTTTAATACCAAACTAGAATAGCAAACTACGCTCAAAGACATTAATACATACAGAATTTTAAACAACCCCATTATACACAAAAGCTTTACTACATATAGCAACAAGGGAAAACAGCCTATCTACGAATTAGAAACTTACAACAAGCACAGCTCAGACAAAAAACTGGAGAATACGAATGCCACTACCAAAACAAACAGGTTCTTTAATAACAACAAAAAGATTGAAAAGAATGAAAACAGATAAAAAAAAAATCTAAGAACTGATATACAAAGAAAAAAGAAACCTTTAGCTAAAGATACAAGAAACAGTATACAAAACAAAAACAAGACATCAAACAAGAAAACTCTAATCAGATAGCACTACTTCAAAAAATTTTAGAAAGACTTGATATTCTTGAAGAAAAGCAAACTCAGTTTGCTGATCGTTTCTAAAAAACATCTCGGGTATTTTAACAAATAGGAATAAGCATCACACAATATTCTTAAAAGAAAAAAGAGCTTATTCTGAAAAAGAGAATATGACAAAACCAAATGAAACAAAGAATACAATGTTAACTAAAAAAAATAGACAAATCCAAAGTACACAAAACAGTACAGAACAAGAAGATATAGCAAACACTTATTAACTACAAGAGGAGTTAAACCAAATAAATTTAAACTTTCTTAAAATAGGGTTTCATAATATAAATAGAATCAAAAACAATATCTCTAAACTTCAAGAGCTAATAGATACAGGTTTCCAGAAAAATCTAGATATTATAGATATATTAGAAACTAATATTAGCAATAGAGAACTGCAACTCAACAGAGTCAACTTAAAAGATTATCAAATATACGCAACAAAAAAGCAAATTGAAAAGCGAAAAGAATCAGAAGTAGCACTTTTAATTAAAAAGGAGTAGAACAGGCATCTAATAGAACTAACCACTCCAGACACTTACTCACTTAGAGCCAAATTCGCTTTCAAAGGCTTTATACTTATACTGTAGGTAGTCTACACTCCACCTAATGACAAGGAAGCATATCTAAAAATATAGCAAAAAATTGCATTAGATGCTATTAAAAAAAATATAAAAACCAAAATGATAATAGGAGGCGATTTAAATACAAAGAAGACTGCTATAGAAGATGATGTACAAATAACTAAAGGAAAAAGTAGCTTATTAAAGCCATCCTACTCTCCTCTAACGAAATGGCTTAAAAGATCAGGTTATATAAATATATTTAAACTACATCACCAAAATTTGCAAGGGGATTACTATCAATTTTAATCAGTTATTTGATAGTAATCGTTTTAAATCTCTACTATCGAGGACTATCGATTTAGATAGTAATCAATATAAATTGATATATATCAGGTTAAAAATTCCAAATAGTATCGATTAATAATGTATAATCGGTTCTAATCGATTTATCCTATTGTATCAAAATCATTACTATTATACTGT